CCCCAAAACCCCAAAACCCCAAAACCCCGGATTATAAGTCACAGGTTGTTGGGAAGAGTATATAATTTAATAAATATGTTTTCATCAAATTCTACAAACATGCAAAATGGGGTGGACCAGTGCCAAGAAATGCTGCCATTGATCAATAAGGACAGGATGCTTAAAGCCAAGGTTGGTTCAGACTCCCAGCTCAAGTTAAGGACTTCAACTGGCAAACTAAGATATCTCTTCGAAACCAATCTCGAAGGTACTGGAGCTTCTGAAGACCTCATCCTGAAGGAGAGGCAGAAGGTCTTCATGAGAGTCCATAAGATTATTAAACAAAAACTCTCGAGTGGGAGCTTCAGGCACTCAAGAGGCTTAAGGTCTCCCAGGAAGCTCAGAAGGGTCCTAAGAAGTCCTATTTTCAGAACAAAAGAGTAAGCAGTTCTTTGAGATAGCTGGGGTTTACTAAAGCTGGGATTAACAAAGCTAATGATAAACCTGATTTGAAGAAATTTACTAATTTTGTATTATAGAGTTCAGAGAAATCTGCCAGAATTGGAGTGTAAGAAGAACAGGAGGTTCTTCTCACCCCAGAGGAAAGCTCCCAGTGAGTTAGTACATCCTATGGCTTAATGCAGAGTTGCTGGTCATAATTTAATTAATCCCTAAGTATTTCTTTGGAAGTGGTATCTATTTGACTTGTTTGTTAGTCATCCTTTAATTTAAAGCCATCTTTTAAATCAATGTGCAAATCTCGTCTCTGTAATCTGGGAGGGAAAATAAATTATTTTGGGGAGGTAATCGAACACTGGTTTTGACTAAAATTACTGGATCTGAAAATGAGCTCTATTAACACTAATTTAATATCTATGAGCCTCTAAAATTTATTCTCTTATCTACTATCTTTTCTTCTAATACATCCTGCTTCATGTCCTCAACTGTCCTTCTAGAGAGAACCCACTTACAAAATCTTTCTTCAAATTTCTAAAACCAGCCTAATACCGCCCTAAGTTTTAAGAAATTTGTTCTGAATTTTTCAGAAATTTTGTAAGATTCAAGAGGAAATTCACCTACAATAATAGCCTTCTTCCAAGCTAGCCACTAGTTTGGGTAAAAAAATTCAATTTTAAATTACCTGCAGATCTAGTCTCGGTCCCAGAGCTTGAAGCTCTGGGACTTATAGGTTGTCAGAAGACATCCTTATAAAATTTCTTCGTAGCTGAAATCTTCAATTTAGAACTGAGGAATAAGTATTATATCAGTAACAAATTTAGGTGGGCCACTAAGTTATAGAGACAGGCTTGAGGCTTTAAAAATAGCTGAAATTTAGAGGACTTAGGAATAAAGAAAGGCTATAGTCAGATTTTTACTGGGAAGATAGTCTGAAAATTTGGAATTTGGGAAAGATTGTACTGGAGAAATGGGGGTTTTAGGTTGGAATTTGGGGCTGGAGAGAGTTCTTTATAGGAGGGGGTTGACTGGAGAGTGGGGGGATTTTAGGAGTGAGAGAGATTAGAGCAGTTTGGAGGGATTTTAGAGAGATTATTTAGGTGTCCGTTTTGGGAATTGGGGAGGTCTGTTTGATCCTGAATACGTGTTTTTTGCACTTTCTGAGCTTGACAGATGGGGATAAAGGAGTTCTACTTGTTCTGAAGGCTAAACTAGCTCTGGGGTTGATATCTATAGTGGCTTCGACTCAGTCAAATGGATCAGCCATTATTTTCTGAAAATTCTCTAACTCGTTATGTGAGAATCAGCTCTGGAGCTCTTTTTGGCGTGATAGTTCTTTTATTTGAGCGTTAGTAAATTTGGAAGCGTCTTCTGAAAATCTCATCCTGTTGAGCCGCTCTGAAAATACTGGAGAATAGGATTGCAGATGGTGCTTCTGATAGGCTTTGAAGAAATTTCCAAGTCGAGGGGTCTTTGTACCCTTAATAGATCTTTCTTTGCATTTATTCATATGGTGTATTGGGTCTTTTAGGTGAGCTTTACCTATCTTAATCTTTTTCCTTTCTGATGGCCTTGCAGTTCTGGGGGATTGGCTAGGCCTATATATAAAGAAAGTTATACCTTATGACTCGTTCTGGGATACTTAGGATACAGTTCTCTGGCATAGAGACTATGCTCTGCAAATCAGTAGCTGTTTCATGATTATCTATGCTATAAATTTTAGCTATTTTTAATTTAAGAAGCTCCTTCTTTAGACTCTTAATCTGGTAATGGAGCTGCTTATATATCTTGGCAAATTTGCTCTTAACTCATGCTTGTGTTTTCCCACTATTTCTCCCACTCTCCTCCGCATTCCCTTGCTTAAAATCTCTTTTCAAATACTCTAATAACTCATTACAGTCACATGGAGGTTCTTTTTCTCTATAAATCCATCACCCTTTCGCTTACATCTCTCTTTTCCTCTCTTGGGCTTGCTCCAATGCTGTTTGTAGTTTACTCACTTGTTCCTTTAGAGTCTTATTTTCAGCATTTATTTCATTGAATTTGTTCTGGACAACTTTTTGTTCCATTAGGTTCTGCTTCACTTGCTTATTTGTAATAGTTCATATCATCTCTTAAGAAGTTCTTACTGAGGTTCAGTTTTTGGATCCTTTTCTTATTCGCATCATCAGAGTTCTTTAGCCTGATCGCATCTTTATTTGCAGCTGAGAGGTTCTTGGTCAGGTCCTGAACACGCTTGTTAGACATAATTTCTCGTTCCTTTTGTTCAACTTTGTGTACAAGGAAGTCTATATTTTGTTCTCTCGGTCTTCAAAGTCTTGAATTATCCTCTTCCAGCTATTTTTAGCAACAAGCTTACAGGTCGCTAGAGGACAGGATTAGGATTATTGGTTAAATTCAAAGTTTAACATAATATTATGACATAAAATGTTTGTCTCAAACTCAAGCTTTCTGGGATAGTGAGTTATTTAGTGCTCAAAGAAGTTGTCTTCTGAGTCAAAATGAGCGATTAGAAATTTCCAAAGAGAGTTCTTGTCTCTAAATACTCTTCCTCCTTTATAAAGCTAACTTTGGGCCCAGGTAGTAAGAATTATAAGACTTCAGGGAAATATGAAGTATGCCAACTCTTTGTTATCAATCTCAGGTAGCAAGAAGGAAGCTGAATGATTTTATGAAAGATTTCGGTCTGATAACTCTTCTCATTTGCTTTACCAATTGGATAAGACAATGAATATTTAATAGGCTCAAGAGGTGAGCCTAAATTAGTCCTTAAATTTTAGTCAAGATTCTAATGTTAAATCTTAAACGAACGATCGTTAAAGGCAAATTTGTAATAACTTTAAGTAGGTGAATAATAGGGTTAGTTGCAAGATCTTTTAGGAGATGAGCACAGCTTGAAATTTTATCAAGACCTGAGAAGGACTTACTTATACTCTTTCTGATACGCAGCGATGAGGTGGCTATTTGACCCTGATATTTTCTTCATCTATCCTCTCTCTGAAGGTGTTTATTATATTATCAGACGCTCTTCTACACTATATACAATTATCTCCTGAGTATGCTAAACCAGATGCTGAGGATACAGCATCTAGTAGATATTAATAATTCTTGGAAGCTTCAAGTAAACACAGAAAATAAATATCAAGACTTATTCATAAATCTCAAACGGTAAAAGTGACTTGGAAGATCTCTCATGAGATTTCTTGTCCATTATTATCTCATGAAGACAAGCCTGTAAGACTTGAGACCCAATTATGGCAAATTAGGATCGGAGAAACTACTGAGAATAAACCTAGTTTCAGAGTAATAAAGTGTACATCAATAAGAATCTGTGATATCTTCTCTTTGTCCATATTTATTTTCAGTTGGAAAGTTGGGAAAAGGGGTTTTGGGGTTTTGGGGTTTTGGGGTTTTGGGG